CGAGGATCACTCCCAGCACTCGGGCAGTTAATCGGCCAGACTCCAACCTCAAGGACCACCAGACCAGATCACGGTCACTAAACCATCCTCAGTTCCTCACCGCACCTCCGTCGCTGACATCACACCTCCACCAACCCAACGAACTTCACTATCATCCTCGCCGATGACATTGCATCCATCCTTATCAAATGGTGAGTCTCTACACTCCACACCTTGATTCAATTATTGTGTGATTTATCACCTCTCCACTGTTCTCCTTTTGTGTTCCCGCTTATCCCCAACCAGTCAAACTGAGAAGGAGCACACCTGCTCGCTTCCTCATCACCATCAAACCAGTCGGACCACTCTCACAACCGACCAGGCTCCATTGTTTGGTCCACTACAATACTTTCCCCGGTCGTGGCGTTTCCTTTTTTTTTGTTCTACTATATCCATATGTGGTAGAACTGCCTCACATTGAGGGATACTGGGAACAAATCATCACCTACCTACATGATTTATTAGATTCATCAATACAAGTCGCAAATATGCACATATTGTATGCTTACCAATGACACTTTTAGGACTCCAAACCTTTTGATTGGTTGGCTAGGTACTTCATAAGCTCCACCCTTACTTTTTTAGCGGAAGGGAAACAATCTACAAATATGTGTAATACACAAATAAGGGCGGGCTGACTGACTGGATTGTTTAGTTTAGCATGTATGCTAAGGTTAGTTTAAATATGAAATGTTTTCCAGATTACAGATCACACTGTATTTTATTTTTTATGGCTATGGGACTTGAAAAGAAAACACCACAGTCAAATATTCAATCTAGTTTATTGTACTTTATTTTATGACACGGGTACGAAAGGTACAATTACATGGAGGGTGTCTTGCAGTCACATTCATGTTTATCTTGGTTAGTTCTTTTTTTTTTTTTTATCGATAGAATGATTTAAAATATTGTTGACATATACTGGATGATCCTGCTTAGTTATAAGTATGCACCATCTGGATGCTGTAGAATATTCTCTATGTAAAATCCTTTCTCCCTCTGAGAACTAAAAATACAACTTTAAAAGTCAAAATCACAAACTGGTCCATATTTTAAAAAAAAACAAAACATCTAAATTGCTAGCAAAAAAAAAAGGACCTGTTCTAGAATCTGGAAGGAGAAAGATATTACAGGTAATGTTGATGAACTGCTTAGGGGGCAGCATGTGGAGGAGATTGTGGTGGCCAATATATGCAGGTTATCATAGCAGGCAATAAATGTAGGAGAGGAGTGCAGAGGGTGTTGTAACAGGCATAATCCCTCTATCAGCAGTATCCAAACCTCCTTTAATCCCTTCCACCAATAGCAGTGTCCAATCTCCCTTCCATCCCTCCTAAAATTTGTTGGGCTACATCAGCTCAGTAACTAGATTAGGGTTTAACCAGTTGCTGTACGTCATTTATAAACGGACGGCTGACTTATTCTTCAATGCGAGGTGCCTTACAAGTATGGCAATTTTTTCTTCTGCTCTCAAGCACCCCCTAGTGAGCACACGAGCAGAAAACTGTGTACACAAGGCACATTGGACAGTGCAGTTCACAAAACAAGATACTAATTAAATTGGCTCTGTACCATGTGACCGCTGTGACCAATCAAAGCGGTCACATAATGTAAACAATGGCTGCAGTTGCAGCTTTCTCTCCCTTTCCTCTCTCACAGTGAGAGGAGAGGGAGAGATCTCAACATGACTGCAACCTCCCCCATTCACTACCATACCTGCAGCCCCCTCTCTCACTAAGCCTCACACCAGGCTGTAATTTCTCCGGCTGCTGTAGCCGGAGAAGCTTCTCTGGGTTCCAGAGACATCAGGTTTCTAACAGACCCCAGGTGTCTCCATAAAGAGGACTTGTCACATCCTCTTTGCTATCACATACGGGGCTTGTTACTTCCATCACAGCAGCGTGCAGCTCTGCATGCTGATTTAAAATCCTCTTACATTCATTGGTTAAACAACCTTGTTTTTCATTTACATACAAATAAGAGTTAATCTACTTCCAGTTCTGGCACAAATTATTTAACTGCGTCCAAGCGTTGCATCCTGGAAAAGTTACATCAGCAGAGCACTGCTGGCAAATCTCATCTGTAGTCTGAGATCGCAGGGAAAGGCATTTTCCTCTACTGAGATGATGTGCATGGTCACATGTCCTAGTCACATGTGCCAGATTTTCAGGAAGTAAAGTGAAAGCTAGTAGAAAGCTAACCTGCCCTTAGTTAACATGGCCACTGCCAGAAGACTGGGGAGGAAAAGAAAAGTAAGGTATGCAAAGAATACAAAGCCTGCAATTATCTACAAGTATGTGTTTGTAGATTGTCATTACTAAACATTTCTAAAGGTGTGATTAGTGAATAGTACAGCGCTACGAGTCTCCCGTTGTATTAATTAATAAAGATTGTGTAAACTAAAAAATGTGCATCAATCTCTACACCATGAATCAATTGTATAAAAAAATGTAATAAATCAAAATTGTGTAACCATCTTCATTTATCCAGTGTGTGAGTAAAATATATGTGAAATTTTGCACAGAAAATGTAAATACAAATGACTCTTCAAACCCAAGTAATAAAATGTTATTAAATACTATTTTAAACTGTGTGTGTGAACTTTATCTATAAACATATGAATTCGCCTGTCATCATATGTATAGTGCAATCAAATAAGTGGTGTCAAAGTGTTGAAACACAAATCAAATAAAAAACAGATTTGTTTTTTACTTGATTTGTGTTTCAACACTTTGACACCACTTGATCTGTTTTTTACTTGATTTGTGTTACAACACTTGGACACCACTTATTTGATTGCACTATACATATGATGATAGGCGGATTCATATGTTTATAGATAAAGTTCACACACAGTTTAAAATAGTATCTAATAACATTTTATTAACTTAGGTTTGAAGAGTCATTTATATTTACATTTTCTGTGCAAAATTTCACATATATTTTACTCACACACTGGATAAATGAAGATGGTTACGCAATTTTGATTTATTTATACAATTGATTCATGGTGTAGAGATTGATGCACATTTTTTAGTTTACACAATCTTTATTAATTAATACAACGGGAGACTCGTAGCGCTGTACTATTCACTAATCACTGTCTGGGGCTTCTTAGCCTGAGTCCTAGCAGCTTGCAGTCAATCCGGTTTTTCCTCTTTGACCTTCCTTCTTCTTTGTCTCTAATTTTTTCTATAGCGCAAAATATTTGTTTTTTCCATTTCTAAAGGTGTGTTTGTTGTTATTTTAAAGATTTGGGTAACGTTTCTCTTTAACAACCAGGTCTTCAAGTTGTTAAATTGAGGCAAATGTTTTACCAAATTACCTTAAATCGATTTCATTCAATTTCCCTGTTGCAGATTTTCCCTCACTTCCTGTCTGGTCCCAGAATAGGAAGTGAGGAAAAATCCTTTCCATCAATCCCTGGATCAAAGTAAAGCTTGAAGTATGGCCTAACGAAATCCATCCAAAATAAGTACTACGAAAAAAAGATTGGCTATAGAAACAATTGAAGTCTTTGATCTCTTTGACAGTACTGGAAAGTGCCTAATGTAAAATATCCACACTTGTTTAGTGCCCATACAGCACTGACATATGCATCAGCACCTACAGAGATTTGTGGTACAAGTAATCAGGAGAACAATAAGCAAACATGTTTGTGATAATATTAATTTATAGGCATGGAGTGGAGGCATCAGAAAGCATGTAGAATTGGTGGTAAAGGCATCATAAAAGGATGTAAGAGTTGAGGTGCAACCATCATGAATGATGCAAGCATGGGGGTGTAACCATTACACAGGATGTAAGAGCGGAGGCCCAGCCAGCATTAGGAATGTACAAGTTACATCAATGTCTGGTTCTTAGAAATATCAATGACAGCTTGAGTTACATTTAAACTTCTTTTCTAATGTTTATAAAATATCTGAAGCCGGCAGTCAGCCTCACTAATTCTGGACAAAGTGACAGTGTCTTTGCAAAGGGACCACCCAGACCCACTGAGGCCCCATTCACATTAAGCGATTCGCAAATTGCGCGATTTTCATTTTGCGTAATACCGCGCGTTTGTCGCGTGATATAGTGCAAATGGTTGCATTGAGCAACCTAGAATAGCGGCAAAATCCGCTCCAAAAAGGGTCCTGCTGTAGCGACGCACGACCCGCGACAGCGACGGACAGAGCCCCATTGGATTGCATTGGAGAGCGATATCGCGCGGTAAATAGCCGCGATATCACGGGAATTACCGCGCGATAAATCGCTCAGTGTGAACGGGGCCTTATACTTACCTTATCTGCTTTTCTCTGCAGCTCCTTCCTCTATCGCAGCTGGTCACCTAATTTTTTTAAAGTTTACGTCTTGATAGGCCTGAGCATTACACGACAAAAAGTGATGCCACCGCTCCACCCAGTGTCCGACACTGGGGATTTTTTCTGCCTTCTGCGACAAGAGAAGGAGCAGTGGGGAAAGGGTAGTATGATTGGGTCAGGGGGGGCCTCATTGCAAAGAGACTGTCACTTTGCCCTGATTGGGCAATGCGACAGTGTCTTTTTAACAATTATCTTCACACAATAAAAACGAGCAGGTAACGTAGATATGTAAAAGGGACACATTTATATTTTAGTATGGATTAAAGCCTTTAAAAAAAATAAAACCCTAGACACCTACAGCTAGGAAATTTGTTGCTCCAACATAAAATGGCAGTAAACACAAAGTGAAAGGAGTAAAATAATAACAATGTATACTTTTTTAATGACCATAAAAGAATATTTTAAAAATCTCACATTGGTAAACAGTGAAGATTACAGTTATATTTCAATCTATATACAGATTACAAGAAAAACTATGGTTTTAAAATACTGAAATAGTAAAAAATGTAAAATCCATTAACTACCATCTATTAAAATGTATTTTTTGCATAAAGATAATCGCCACATAAGTAGAATATGAAAACACAAATCTTTGGTATGTTGGCACCTGCAGCATTGACTAAAAAATTCTAAAAGTTATAATCGTCGTCAAGTCTCAATTCTGTTCCCACAGCCCCTACACAAAAAAATGGAAACATTTTATCATGAGCTTGGAGAGTATTGAATGTGAAAAGGTGTTCAAAACTGACAGCATTGTAAAAAGAAACACAGCCTTCATCAGAGTTTAGAAACACCCCAATTCTTTCAGGGCGTTCTCGAGGATTCAAGAGGCTATCGGGATTGGTGAAGGCATAGTATCGATCCATATACATGCCAAGTAGACCTATTGCCCATATTCCACCATTGGGCTCAATTCTAAATCCCCCTTTGCGGCGCACAGACCATTTAGCAACCCCAATGCTCCAATATATGCCACCTCCCACTTCCACTTCCCAGTAATGCCTCCCTAATTCGAATCCAGCAGTAGCCAAAACACAAGGCTTTGAGTCAAACCTCTCAGGACATGGCACTCGTTTTATGGGATCTTCGACATATTTGACACATTTTCGATTGCAGATAACCAGAAGATTTTGATTGACTGTTTTAAGGTCAAAGGATAATGCAACTAGAAGGAAAAGGAAAAGAAAGTTAGGATTTTAACTTTATAAAAGGAAGCTTTGCACTACATGCAGTAACCTCACCAGTTATGGCCTTGAAAAAGTTTTTGGGTGAATTGCTTCTCTGCTGGTTGCATGTTCTGGGGTCTCCGAACAGAGGATGTACAAATTCAAAATTGGGTCTAAAAAGCAAGTAAGCCCAGTGTTATGTACTCCTCTAAGAGTATAGAACGTGTAGCTCAAGTGACAAAGTGTGCAAAACACAGTTAAGCAAAAGGAAACAAATTAAATCCCAGTTTATATTTTTGTTCTTATTTTTGCTACAGAGGAGGTCCTGAATTATAGAAAAAATGCATTTATCTAAAAATGTAACAAGAATGAATACTGTTTAGGGGCTGGGGAGGGGAATGGGGGTGACAGTGACATTAATGCCTGGTGTTCTGCTCTGAAGAAGTGCTTCTGGAAAGGACAATGTGAGGTGTCATTTACACTGACCTCTATGCTGACCTTTCTGAGGTACTGCTCTCCTAAAATTTCCCTGACAGCACAGTGGTACCCTTAGTTCAATGTAAACCTATGTTCTAATCTACAATAATTAGTAGTTGTCAGAAATTGACACACTATTCAAACCACCAAAATACTGCTTGTGAACTAAACTTCTCAAAAATGACACCCCCTGCTCATGCGATTGGCTCTTTGTATACCCTTGAAGGCTGCACTGAGCTTAAAGTGTCACTAAATGCTGGTTACTATACATATGGCAAGTCTTAAATGTGCCAAAAACACATTCAAATACTGTTGTTATGCATATTCAATCTCCTCTCTGCATGCCCCACGGAGGCTCTTTTGCCTTTTGTGTGTGTGTGTGTGTGTGTGTGCGTGTGAGAAATGGACATATCTTGCAGTTACATGCACTGCTCTGCTTAACCAGTTGACATCCGCGGTGTTAAACCCCCTTCCCATCCAGGCCATTTTTCAGTATTCAGCGCTGCGGTACTTTGACTGACATTTATTCCATCATGCAGCGCTGTACTGAAATGAATTTTATACCCTTTTTTGGGGACAGATAGAGCTTTCTTTTGGTGGTATTTATTCACCACTGGGGGTTTTATTTTTTTACTATATTAAGGAAAAATTACCGAAATTTAAAAAAAAAAACAGTTTCCCCTATATTAAATGATAAAACATTTATTATTACCCAATTTTTTGGTAAAATATAAAAGATGGGGTCACGTCGGGTAAAAAGACACTAAACATGTCAAGCCTTAAAATTGCGTGCGCGCGCGAAACCTCAAAAAACGATAATACCCAAAATTGGCCATAGGCGACGCTTTAAAAGCTGTTACCGCTCATCAGTTTAGTGTTATCAGTGATTGATGGCCCTAAAATGATTGCTCTCACTGCGACGTTCGCGGCGATATGTAACATGTGTAGCGCAATTGTCATTTTTGGATGCTGGGGCACCGGACACGTATTTACGTTTATAGGTGCGTAAACGTGGGGGTGGGGGAGTTAAACATTTTGGGGGGTTTTTTTTCCCACTTTTTTTATATGTGACTTTTATTTTACTTTTTTTAAATTTATATATATATATTTTGCACTTATTGTTATTGCTATTATATAGGGGGATAACAATCCCCCTATATAATAGCAAAGGCACACTGACAGGTCCTCTTTATGGAGACATTAGGGGTCTCTAGGACCCCTAATGTCACCTGTGGACCCCAAAAGAAGCTGATGAAGCAGAGATCTGCTTCATCAGCTTCTTTTCTCTGGCTATAGCAGCCAGATGACTGACAGGTGAATGCGGAAGTGATGTAACACACATCACTTCTGCATTCACAGCCCGGAGGGAGATCAGCAAGGAGCTGATCTCCCGTCCTCTTCCTCCTGACGCCCTCTGAGCCGGTCCCGGGCCGCAGATGGGGCAGCGGATCCCGGGATTGAAGGTGAGGGGTCGGGGGCAAAAAAAGGGCTATGGAGCCACCGATCGTCTATATGTGAAACACCCGGTAACGGGTGTTTGCATTGGTCGGGTCTTTTCTGCCCGTGCGTGCCTGCTAGGGGGCGCGCGCGAGCAGAAAAAAAATGCCGTCTGGAGACGGCAACCCACCAATGCTGCAGTGCCGTCCGTCCGTTTTTTTACAACGGGCGGACGGCAAGTGGTTAAACTAAAACCCCATCTGTCTTTGAACCTGCCTAATCAACTGTGCATGCGTCCCAACATTCTTGCTCTGTTCTTTTACCCGCTGTCACATTAAAGCCCATTGGGAGGTGCTTTGTGGGTGGAGATTTTATGAATGAGCATTTACTTGTGTTTTTGCATGCTGGATGCATCAGCACCAGGATGCATCAAATATGTAGAGCAATACAATTCTGTTTCCATACAGACAATAGTTAATAAATTAACAATATTAAAAAAAAAAAAAAACCCACAATACACAACAGTGTACCAAACCAACAACTGACAAGTCAAATCTGAACTAAATGTCATACCATCATGTTGCTTTATTGCGACATCAAACTCAGGAGTTAAATCTTCAAAATGCATTCATGTACCCTAACTATTAACAGAAATGTAACGCCTGAGTTAGCGTCACTGAGTTGTTGCATAGTACAGAACTATTGCCATAAAAAGTAAGCTGTAAATGATTGAAAAATAAAAATGTAAAGAGAAGTTTACCTGGCTGAAGAAGCTTTAAACTCCTAAAAAAAATGAAGAAAACAGTCAGGCTACAAATGCAGGAAGTGCTTCTGCAACACGTAGTTTCAATGCTTCGGTTTTGAATTGCCCATGGGATACGCATCACTCTAACTGAACCATTTGCAGTATGTGCGAAGCAAGTATACAGAGATCTACTTTTTTTTTTTTTTACATTTAGAGTGGGGAAGGATTACCAACCTTGTCAAGTTTCTATTACTGTCTGTGTCTCTGCTGAGGAGAGTCACCATGTATGCCTGTCCTAACATTGTCACAGGAGGGAAAATCCAAAATTCTAACTTGTCACCTGAAAAGGAATAAGGGAAGTCTTCCAACAAGAACACTTGAGACAACTGTGTGAAATACGATTACCCTTACTTCAGAGAGATTACATTTCACTTACTACGTTGTGTCTCAGGGACAGGGAGTAGATTGAAGTAAAATCGAAATATCCCCAAAGGGACACAGACTGCACAAAAACCCAAAAAAGGAGGGTTTTAACTTTTCCATACGCTATCCAAAAATGTTTTGGTTTTAGATAAACTAAACTAGAACACAAAAACAAGGAGGACACTAAAGCTGGCCATTCACTAATATTTTCTTTGTTCAACCTGCAGGCTGAACAAAGAAAATAATACAGATTCCTCCATCAACGTTTACGAGCATTGATTGAGGAATCTCCCGCTGTCTTCATTGTATTATGGCAGTGGCCGCCGGCTGTTGTCAGAATACCCGAATAGAGCCAGCAGCTCATTGGCTACCGGCTCTGTTTGAAGATTTTCCGACCGACTCCTTTGGCAAGCTGATTGAGGGATGCCATACAAAAGCGGGCTCACTGTGCAAATCAAGAATTGGCCGAAATTTGCATAGTGTATGGCCAGCTTAAGACTTTAAAGCTGCAAAATCAGGCAAGGTTTTTGCAGCTCACACAGTAGATACAGATCCTTCCCATCTACAACCCAATCCTACAAAAGGTCAAGAGAACTACACAGACACTTCAAAAATAAATACAAAAAGACAAACTCTACAAAATGAATCCAATAACCCCGAATATATTGGGAATATACAGCGACTGTCCTAAAATTGTACTAAATAACCTGAATATTCTTTCTGGCAACCTAAAAACAGCAAATATCATGTTGATGAATAGATCAGCAGAAAAACATTCACAAGAAAGACATTTTAGTTGAAGATCTTTTACTCTAGTTTTCTGACAATTGTAGTAGTGTTCAAGTTGCGAGACATAGAAATACACAAGTACAGCCCTTGATATCACCAAAGTGCCCAATTTTTTAGGAAAAACACTGAGGCGGCAATTCTTGATCTCTCCTTGTAGAAATGCTATTTTTTTCCTGGCTGTTATGCTGCTCCTCCTGATTCATAAATTTGTATTACTGTCCTGGAATAAGAGTACAGAAATAGGATTTAACATTTTACTTTTTGTTATGATCTGTATACTTGTGCTGGAAACGTCTCTTACTGAAGCTAGTGAGTCAGCATAAAAGTAAATTAACTAGTATTGCAATGGTAACCCCTATATTTCTCTAATGCCACAAAGTGAAAACATTGACAATCAACACCACTCTTACCTAAGAGTAAACATCTCATTCTGGATCCCCACATAATCTTGTGGAAGGATGTGGTCGGGACCTCCTGTGGCTCACAACATATTGCTATAGCTACATAAAGCCTGGCAAAGTAATTTGAGAGCAAGAGGAGCTGCATCCTCCTCCTCTATGCCTGTAGGCTGCAGAGTGAAAACGGTGCATCCATATGTTTCTCTTGGGTTGGGCACTAGTGTGCTATTTAATGAGAAGATGGTTTACCATCCAAGACAGACTGTCTGAAAACAATGGGTTGAAAACACATCAGAATCCCCAGCATTCCTCACCTGGTAACTTTGGCTCAATAAAGGGCGAGCATTTTCTTCAAGGTCAGCAATTGTTTTTTGGGTAGATGACAGCTGTGTGTTTAGCCTGGATATGCTGTCTTTATGTTTCTGCAGAATGGTTTTTTGCATGTTTTCCAAGCGATTGTTAATGTGTTTTTCTTGATCGGCCAAAAGTTGTCGCAGTGATTCAAATTCTGCAGCCACCATTTTACGTTTCTGCACAACTTCATCCTGAAAGGGAAAATAAAAGCTACATATAAATTAAAAGTCAGTCTCACTTCTATATGTTTCCTTAATGTGTGTTCATTAAATCATACATATAACATTTAAAGCTGAACTCAAGCCTTACCTTCCATTTTGCACAGTTGTACAGGTTCCTCTACTTTATGGATATTGCTTACTCTGATTTTACTGCACACTGTCAGCTTCTCATAGTCTACCATTACTAGCAGCAGCAAGTTAGGTAGAGTTCGTCTAATTTCCTGGTTGGACAATGTGTAGCATCATCTATCTCTTTCCCCCCAGACACACTGTCCCTGGCTGGCCCATTCATTCACTGGGTTCCAGGTCTTTCAATCATGGTTAAATAGCATGAATGCATATCATTTGAATGTAACATACAATTTACAGTTAGAAAAGTACTCGTTACAATACTAGGTATCAGAACAAAAAGCATAAATCATTGAGTTTGAGGAAGGGGAAAGGAAAGCACAGGAAGGAAATATTAGTGTGAGTGAAAGTGTAAAAAGTGATAAGGATAGAAAAGAAAGGGGTGGATTTCAAGCCAATTCGACTAACTCCCCGGAGGGGTCTGGTGTGCCTTTTTTTTAGAACTACCCCCAAACTTACAAGTAAAAAAATGTGCAGACATGTTGAGAGTGTATAGACAGAGGGGAGAAAGAAGTGAAAACATTGCCCCAGATGACACAAAGGAGAACAAATATAGATCAATACTTATTCAAAAGTATGCGAGTAAATTTTAGGTTATAAAACCAAGTCAAAATGAATTATCTAGGAAAAGGAGGTGATAACCAAAGGACTTACATTTTGTCCAGAGGCAAAGTTGGACAAAGTTTAAATTAAAAACATATTATTTGGTCGCTAGAAAGCTATCGTTAAAACAAATTTGACGCAAGGATGAGTCATACTGGAGTGGTTCAAATAAGCAATAGAGTGAATATACTAGAAGAGACTTTAGAGTCCTACAAGATTCATATCTCACCCAAATCTACCACCTTCCCATCCTTGTCACAGAACATTAACCCTTTCGCTGCCAAGGACGTATGGCATACGGACCTACAAAAGTGCTTCCAGCTGGCCAGGTCAGTATGCCATACGGACCTGGCATTTACAGTTCTACTATAAGCTGATGGTCGCTTTAGCGACCATCAGCTTATAGTATAACTGTTCAGCAGACTGTCCCCTTTAAATTAATAGCTGTCATCAGCGGCTCAGAAGCCGCTGATGACCGCTATTATCAAAAATACCGAATTTAGTATCACCATCTTTTTATTCTACCGGGCCTGCGCTTTCAGAAAATATATGGTTTGGGGGGTCTTTTACAAACGCTAGCAACGCAGCAGTTGAAAATCAAATCAATAGGAAAAAATTGCAGAAAATTCAAAAATGGCTTGGCCAGCTGATTTGAAAAATGTTCGAGGGCTTGGCAGCGAAAGGGTTAATATTTAGATTTTCATGAGAGAATTAAGTGTAGAAATTATGAGCACTGATTCCATAGAATTAGGAATAATAATAATCTCATGTCCAAACAAAAAACAGCTTTACAGAAATTGGAACAGAAACAATGACTGGTAATTAAACCCATCTGACAAGGGTGGGAATGTGGTTATGACAAATGGGCAATATGAGGAAAAGGATATGAAAATAATAAATAATTCTGATTGGTACAAAAAAGTACCATAATCAACAATTGAGATCTCAAAAGGAACTATTTGGTATCATTGATGACGCTTATTGAGAAATCTACGGTGGAGTTTCTCAAAGTGGTGCATCTAAGAACACCGGTAATTTTATGTTATGCCAAAGGTCCACAAAGATACACAGAGGCCAACGTGAAGACCTATTGTTTCTGGATGAAAAATCAGCCTATATGTGGATTTCTTTTAAAACCTCATGTTGAGACTTTACCATCTTTTGTTTAAGACACACCACACCTTATATCCATAATTAAAGAACTGGGGGTTCCCAGTTGAAGGATACAACCTCTGACCAACTATGCCACTATGTGGGATATTGGAATTTGGCAGTACCAGTAGCTAGACAAGTGATTTCTGAATGTCACAGTTCAGTTGTTACAAGCTGTTACTTGTATTTCCACAAGTATGTGCAGACCTCTTACCCCTGGTTCTAGTGGCATGCAGGCCTGTGCTGTTACTTGTAGTCCTCCGGACATGTGCTCTGTTCCTAACTTGCTCTTGCAATAGACTGGCAGCTTTAGGCGTCGGCCAACCTCTCCTGCCGATTCTTATGCAGCTTCTCAGCAAATCCTGTGGTTCCTCCCTCTTTTTTACTCTATTCTAACCCAGTGCAGCGCACGGCACACTGCCCGAGCAACGCTTTTCTAACCTTGATGCCGAGCCCCATTTGCTGTTGAAGCTCAATTCCTACAAGTTTACCTGTCTACTGACCTTTGGCTTGTCCCTGGAAATCCCAGTGTTCAGTCTGTCCCTGGAAATCCTTGTCTTCACTCTGCCCTGAACTTTGGCTTGTCCCTGGAAATCCCAGTGTTCAGTCTGTCCCTGGAAATCCTTGTCTTCACTCTGCCATGAACTTTGGCTTGTCCCTGGAAATCCCAGTCTTCAGTCTGACCCTATCCGTCAGATTGTCCCTGGAAATCCTAATCAAAGGTCAGGGACAGGCAGAAGACTTGTCTGTCATATGCATGTCCGCAAACTGTCCGGTACTGTGGCCTTGTTAACCACTGTCAGCGGAGTTGGGTGGACCAGGGGTCAGCACGCAGCAAAATCCACCTCCACCTCAGGGGAAGACCGGCTGGCCCTTAGACCCCACGCTACTTACTCATCTTTGCAGCACTCTGCCTAGTACTTGGACTTCCAGCTGAACCCGACTTCCACTAGCCTCTTAATCTCCTGTCTCTGCTAGAACATGGCTGGTGATATTCTGCATTGCCCTGTATAATGTACTATTGCTGGGATGTGCTGTATTCCTCTATAGCTGGTGATATTCTGCATTGCACTGTATAATGTACTATTGCTGGGATGTGTTGTATTCCTCTATAGCTGGTGGTATTCTGCATTGCGCTGTATAGAGGAATAAAACACATCCCAGCAATAGTACATTATACAGTGCAATGCAGAATACCACCAGCTATAGAGGAGTACAACAAATCCCAGCAATAATACTTTATAGTATATTGTATTATTGCTGGGACTTGTTGTATTCCTCTATAGCTGGCGGTAGTCTGCATTGCACTGTATAATGTACTATTGCTGGGATTTGTAGTCCTCTATACAGTGCAATGCAGAATACCACAAGCTATAGAGGAATACAACAAATTCCAGCAATACATTATACATACAGGGGGGAATTTATTAAAACTGGAGCAGACAAAATCTGGAGCAGCTGTGCATGACAACCAATCAGCTTCCCTCTTTCATTTTCAAACCTTAACTAAACAAACTGAAGAGAGAATCTGATTGGTTGCCCGAGGCAACTGCTCCAGATTTTGTCTGCTGCAGTTTTGATAAATTCTCCTCACAGTGTATAATAGACACTCAGAGGAATACAAACCCCGCTATCCCAGCAATACATTATAGAGCACCATGTGGTGGAAAGTGCAGGCCCACCTGAGCAGTCTTCCAGCAACTTGCTCCTGAGATCAGGCCTGTCTGTCGACAGCTATTGTCCCCCCACTCCTGCTCCTCCTTGCTACTTCTTCTCCCCGCGTCCCTGTGCTGATCGTGGATGTGGGGAGGGGGCCTGGCAGCAGCGAGCGTGAGGTGGGGAGAGAGTACGGGGTGCGACGTGCGTGGAGCCACAAACAGGGGCAACTAATCGAAAGCCGATTAATCGATGATTGACAAAGTTTTTCATCATCAATTATAATCATAATCGACTTAGTCGATTACCTGTTACAGCTCTATTCTCATTACCGATTCACTGGTTGCAGCCCTAACTGTGACATCTGTAAGGTAATGGTAAGGGAAGATTGGCACTGTTTGTTTGTTTTTTTAAAAGGGAGGGGCTAAAAATAAAAAATCCTAAAAAGATTTTAAAAATATATTTTTCCCTGCTACTCATTACATCAAATATATTTTAGCTAAATGTAAACTTTAAAAAAAGCCTAACTAAAGCCGTACAAACTAGCACAGTACTATTACTATAAAACCATTACAGAAGACGCACCTGAAGTTTTAAAGCTGTTTCTTCTTCTTCACCTTTGATTTTTTTTATATCTGCTACTTTATTTCTTAATGCTATCAGACGTTCCTGAATGTCCACCTGTATTGGAAAATAAATGTACACCAGATTTAAATATATATTAGAGATAGAAAAGCCCTCAGAAATGAACTCTGACTAAACCTGACATTTCAGCTAGGTCTGGCTGCTGGCATACTAAATTGCACTGTAGCTTTTAGACCTCTTGGGGACTTCAAGGGGAAAGATGGTAGACACAACAAATGAGTGTCTACCTACAAACATATGCTAAAACTTTAACATGGCCTTGTAGGGGGCAGCTGGGAAAGAAACCACTGGAGTCAGTGGGACATTTAAATTGCACTGTGCTAAAGGTGCTAAAAGCAGTGCAATCTTTTTTCACATTATAGAAGTAGTGATCAATACCTAAGCACATCAACTGGGTACTTAGGTTTAGGGTAAGGTGCAGATCACCTTTTTGTATTTACAGTGGGACATTTAATCTACAAGCATCAAAACGAGTATTTTAGCTTTGGAGGAGATGGCCTTTAACAGTAACTACAATTCAAGCAAAATGACTGAGCATTTGCCACAGATGCAGCAGCTGCACAAAAAGTCAGCTCCACAAATTAAAAACACACACAAAGGTTTAACTAAATCAGTTGCACCACTTAGTTGGCTGTGGAACAATTTGGAATACTTGTGCACCTGCTTATCAAATCTATATTTACAGTGGTGATAGTAATTTTATTGTGAAAGGTTCTCTTAATGAAGACCCCTAATGACTACTACTGTGCCTAATTTGACAGACCTGACAGCTCTGAACCTTATGGTTTCATTCATAACAGTGGGGATTGAGAAACAAGAGGTTCTCAGTCTCCTCTATGCTAACCATCCTGTTTGCCATGGGGGTAGGGGGACTAAATTTGCAAGTTATATGCCGACTCCTAAGACAAACTTGTGGCAATAGCAGCCGTGAGCTTGTCTACATCCCATTACTGCCTTGTCATAATTTGTACAGTGGAGGTAGTAAAAGGGTTAAAGCCCAACTCCTGGGAATTTATTTTTATAATAAATAATATGGGCACCCAGTCAGTCATGAAAACAAACCTCCCCCCAAAAAAAGCAGCTTATGCTTTCTTAGAACACTGAGCTTTATCAGCGTTGGATAATCCTCTGCTGAATGTTTACCAATGAAAAGGCCACTTTCAAATTCTACCTTATCCAACGACATTTCCTTTTGCTTATAACATATTTCACCTGAAATTCTCTGGTTGTCTCCTCCACTGGCATTACAACATGGCTCCTGTGGTCCACAGATTCCCTGCAGATGACACAAATTTCTTCTCCATCAACTTGACAATAAAACTTTAGTGGCTCCTGGTGTTTTCTACACTGCTTTTTACGTTTTTCATTTGCTTCAGTAAAAAGCATACGGTTTGAAATTTCCAACACATTCTCCAGAGGGCGGTTGGGTCTCAAAAACTTCCACTTGGATGTCTTTCGACAATGAGGGCATGGAAAATTGCTCCGAATACCTCTCCATGTTTGGATAATGCAGGCTCTACAAAAGCAGTGACCACATTCTATTGAAACTGGGTCTTTAAAATGATCCAGGCATATAGCACAGGTGACTTCATCCTGCAACTCCCTAACAGGGTCGCTAATTGCGAGAGCCATTCCTGTGAAAAAAAATAAAAATATTTTAACTTTAAACATTTATCAAGACTTAAAAGGTCATGAAAATGACAAAACATGAAAGATCCAATCACATTTGTGTGGTACGATAGCATGTGTTACATCATTCAAAATGAATGGGCTTCAAAACACATCACGTTTAAAATATCACAAGACCCTTTTTTTCCTAACGCAACGCAAAAATGTGAGTTGTCCATGTTGTGGGGCATTGCTTTAGTGCGTTGGGGTGCCACTCAAAATGAATAGTACTGTGATGCATGTTTCATGGATGTACGTTACATGGAACTGTGAATTTACTCTAAAGTTAAACATTGCTTTGCCCATCAGGTTCACTTTAATCCTCTACCCACAACATATTCACCAGTGTTTTACTCAGGGCTATGGACTCTTTCCACAGGACAGTGCTGGTGCTTGGCCCAGTACAGTCACATGGAGTAATGGTGCCTGTGAATTTCAGCCAGTTGTTGGAGAACTGGCCGAAATTCGCACAGTGTGTGCCGCTGTCCACACCCTTTCGGTCGGCGTCCCTCGATCAGCTGTTTGAGGGAGCCGGGAGGAAAATTTTCGTACAATAGGAGCTGGCAGCCAAAGAGCTATCTGTTCTCGTTGGATATTTTGACATCGGCCACTGTCAAAATACAACGCAAGCAGCAGGATTCCTCGATCGACACACTCCTAAGGGTTGATGGAGGAATCTTCTCTATTTTTCTCGTTTAGCCCACGGGTTGGCCAGCTTAAGTCACATGCTCCTCCATACCTGGAAGTATGGATATTTTCTTTGCTCCAATCAGGTGAGAGGAATGGCAGGAGAGTGAAGGAAAAGTGACTATATGCTGCTGGGGTCCTGGGGAGGGAGAAGTAAAGAAAACCTGTTTCTGTGCTTTCCACATCCACAGCATGTCTATACCAATATCCTTAAAAAATAAAAATAAATAAAAGTTGGTAAATTATGTTTTGTAAGTACTAAATGCCTGGGTCTCATGCTTAAAGACCATAACCAGGCAAAACGTAAAATTACATTTGCTTTGTTGGGCATTTAAAAAAAAAAAAAATAATGCTTTAGTGACCCAAGTCCACTATGCAGGTCTGTCGCCATCCCCATTTCCGGGTGCGGAGACATGGTATTCCAGCACTGCAGATATGCCCACACCAGTTGTCTGCCCCTACTGATACCTCTTCTGGATGCTCAGAGGACTCCACCACTAGAAAGCCAATAGGAAGTGGTCACGTCACACAGGCAGTGACATGGACCTCCAAGGAGGACCCCGCCTACTGAAGTAGGGAAAAGACTTGGCAACAGAACACCACATGACAATGGATTTGGGTGAGTAAAAAGGGCATTTAGGTAGAGGGGTTTTTTTTTTTTTTTAAATTACAGCGAGGGGGAACATGTCAGGCAGGCATCTGGATAGAGTGGAACACATATCCCCAAACCAGGACCAAGAGTAACGTATGCATCAAGGATCATTTTAGATACGCATTCTGCTTTCCACAACTGACTATCTAGAATCATATGGGATGTGGGAATGGGTAAAGCTTAGCTAGCATGCGTAGGTGCTGACTTCTTCTAGCAGTTTGTGATCTTCAGAGATACATAAATGCATCACAACATATACATCAGTATTTATCACCCCTGGGACTGAATACAGTACAATCAAGCAGGTATGTAAAGGAAAAGGTTTACTAATAGGCACAACTACTACTCTGCCCTGTATATTAATTACAATCACTTTTACTGGGCTGTAATAGTGCAATTCTAAGGCTTGACATGTTTGATATCGATTTACCCAACGCAACCCCATATTATATATTTTACTTAAAAAAAATACGGTATTGTGTGCACTAAAATTCATTTTGGTGTATCTTTTCCTGAAAATATAGATTTGAAAAACATTTGGGCATATATCATGCAACATACAAAACTGCAACTTATAAAATATATAATTGTTTGGGGGTTTAACAGATTTTCCAGCACAAAATGAATAAAGATTGTGTGATAAATCCAATAATTTATGTATAGTTTTGTATGGATTGGTGACGATTAAAACTCACTTAGGGCCCGTTCACACCAAACCTAGCATCGGTTTTTCAATGGATGTCAATGATCGCCAGCGGAAGGTAACCTGAAAAATGTATGGGTGTGAATGGGACCACTTCACAACGCTCCATTCCACTGTGTTGCAATGTGCGGAAATTTTTGTTTTAGAGCATGGAATACTTTTTTCACTGCAACATGACAAAAACGGATGCAATCAGAAGGGTTTGATTTTGTTGTGAACGGAACCTTGGAGAGATTTACTCCCAACCTTATGTCCTGCTGACAATGATTTCAGCAGACAGAAAAAATAGGGAATCGATAATACAAAATCACCTGCACTCCATACAGCGTACAGACCTTGGATGAGAGGTTGTTGCTTGAAGTGACAACACGGATGGTCACCAGCATTCCATGATATGTGCAAGAAGTAAAGCACTTTTTATTCAATCGTCACATGAAGAAGGGACCCTGCGTGGCCCCGAAACGTTGGCTGTTTGACGCATGTGACGATTGAATAAAAAGTGCTTTACTTCTTGCACATATCGAGTGCTGTTGACTAGTGATGGGCTCGGGCGTGTTCACAGCTCCATGTGCCGAGCCTGCCAGGAAGCTGACAGCGCCAATCACAGGCACGGAGACATTTCCTGATCTCTGCAGCTGCGGACCAGGATAATGTCTCAGTACCTGCAATTGGCGCTGCGGCGCTGTCAGCTTCCTGGCGGGCTCGGCACGTAGAGCTGCGAACACGCCCGAGCCCATCACTACTGGTGACTTCTATCATAGAAAAAATAGGGACACACACAGAAATAAAAATCTGATAGGAGATCCTGCCTTCCCCTACAGAAAGAACATAATTTTCTTTTAATTTCTGTTTGTGTTGCTGATGAAAAACTCCCCTCACTTCCTGTCTAGTAAAACTACAGTGCAAATCTAACACGAGTATTAACCCTTCACCACTCTATCCAAAACAAAGGAAAAAAGATTTGACTGGACATATACATCAGCCTCAAAGTGTAAAACTTCTGTCCAGCTTATAGCTCAGTGTTTCTCAACCTTTCTACAGTCATGGTACCCTTTCAAAGTATGCAAAATACCACAATGAAAAATTAAATAAATGTAAAAAATAAAATAAAAATGCTGTGAGCCCTCCCTTCAAATCACCCCCCTCCGCACCAGGAGCCTGCCTGCCTGCACCATGGAAAGGCAAAACATAGTCTGTGTGAATATTCCCATGCTCCATCTACTGGCAGTTATGCCATGCAAACAACATTCACCCAGCTTTACAGTGGGCATACGTTTTTGTCATCAGCCCCTTTAAGTTGAGCTTTCCATATTGTACAAGCCCCTAGATTGTAGGTTTCCATAAACCTCAGAGAGGAAATTGTGAAAGCAATGTGCATGTACTGAGTCACTGACACCTTATAGGATCTGCTAACACTCATTTTGTGTTGCATTTTCTGACAGGTTCACTTTAAAGCCGGTTAAAGGCTTCTAAGCGTCTCCTTGCCTGGCCAGGCCGCAATAAAACGTTAAATGGCGGCACACAACTAGTTAAAACAAAGCCAGAAGCACAGTACGTGTTCTTACAGCAGCAGCACACTTCCGCACACCAAGGTCTCCGAGCGCCAAAGCAAACCTGAACCGGAAGTTGGACGCTCCAAACTGTATTGTCCTAAGACCTGCTTCCACCAATCAGCGTCCGGTTCACATACAGCCAATGGTCACGCCCTTCTCACGGATCTCAAGCTTAACCCTTTCTCTGCCTACTCGTTCACTCACACATGTTCAAATGTGCATTTAAAAAAAAAAATAAAAAGCGTACCTAAAACCCCACAAGAGTATATATATTCTGAAAGCAGAGGACCTGTAGATTACAATGATGGCAGTTGAAATGTTTTCTGCCTCAGAATATTTGTTTCTCACATCTAATTTTTTAGCAAAAAAATATGCTGGAATAAATTCTAGTTCATGCAAACACAATATAATCTCCAATTTGTCTCCTGAGTCCTGAATATAAAATCGGACGCTGTGTTCAGTAATTTAATAAACCCAATATATATAGCCTCAGCATTGTGCATGCCTGTGAAATGTTGACAAAGTACAAAAAAACAAAATATTCAATAGTCAATGCTTTAAAACCCTTTGCAGCTCATGTGTGGAGAACTTGGACCACAGCGAGAGCACACTAAGACTAAGGTCACAGCTAGGGTTGCCACCTGTCCAGGATTGACCTGGACAGTCCGGGTCTCATGGCAGCAGAAACCCAGACACAAGATGTCAGGCAGACAGGGGCAACCAAAATTAAAATAGGGGCTACCGGCCCGCCACTGAAAATAGTCTCAACTGTAATATTTACAAATTAATGGGTGGCGCTATTTACATATGAATAAGATGCGGCTCATTCTCCCCAAAAAATGTCCGTGCGTCGCTAGAGTGTTCGGTTTTCGCTTGAAGAAAAGGTGGCAACCCTAGTCACAGCCAGTACAGAACTACAAGTCAAAGCAGTCCCAGTATCCAGAAGGCAGCACACAGTCAATAGGGAGCTATTGACTGTCCCAGTGATTCTATGCTGTTTCTTTAAATTCCTTCTCATCTTGGGGCCCATTCACATTATTGCCACAGAGGGCCATACACGCGTGTGTTTATGTGTCCGGGAGTCATAGGTGTACCATGCAGCCGCAGCCAGCTGCAAAAAAACAGTGACAGGCTGACAGAGATGAAGGGCTGTATGGATCTTCCTGCACATCCATGCTTTAAATTTGCACAGGAATGCATGGTCCTGGAAACAACTATGTCTCTGTCCAAGACCACCAAGTTTTCGTCCCTTTACGGATGGAAACAGTCAGATATGTAGGAATATCCATACAGTTGCTGCATCTTTCAGCCTATCAATGTTTACATGTCACACCTGGGACTCCCAGAAGCATAAACACAGGCATGTACAGTCCCCCGTGGCCGCGTGAATGAACCCTGGTGTTAGCGGGACCCTGCAACCATAAGTTTCCCTGTGCTTAAACTCTGAGTACACTCTGACTCTTTTCTCTCAACACAAGGCTGTTATACAATATACACTGATCAGCCATAACATTATGAACACCAGCTTAATATTGAGTAGGTCCCCCTTTTGCCGCCAAAACAACCTTGACCCACCGAGGCATTGACCCCTCTAGACCTCTGAAGGTATGCTGTGGTATCAGGCACCAAACAGTCAGTAGCAGATCCTTTAAGTCCTGTAAGTTGCGAGGTGGGGTCTCCATGGATCGGACTTGTTTTTCCAGCACATCCCATAGATGCTTAATTGGATTGAGATCTGGAGAATTTGGTGGCCAAGTCAACACCTCAAACTTATTGTTGTGTTCCTCAAACCGTTGAACTTGAACCATTTTTTGCAGTGTGGCAAGGCACATTATCCTGCTGAAAGGGCCACTGTCATCAGTGAATACAGTTCCCATGAAGGAGAGCACTTGGTCAGCAATAATGTTTAGGTAGGTGTTACTTGTCAAAGTAACATCCACATGAATGGTAGGACCCAAGGTTTTCCAGCAGAACATTGCTCAAAGCATCACACTGCTTCTGCTAGCTTGCCTTGTTCCAATAATGCATCCGGGTGCTATCTCTTCCCCAGGTAAGGGACACACATGCACCCGACCAGCCACATGATGTAAAAGAAAACATGATTCTTCAGACCAGGCAACTTTCTTCCATTGCTCCGTGGTCTAGTTCTGATGCTCATGTGCCCATTGTAGGCTCTTTTGGTGGTGGACACAGGTCAGCATGGGCACGCTCACCAGTCTGCGACTATGCAGCCCCATACGCAGCAAACTGCAATGTACTGTGTGTTCAGACACCTTTCTATCAGAACCAGCATTAACATTTTCAGCAATCTGAACTACAGTAGCTCCTCTATTCTATCAGACTACACGGGCCAGCCTTCACTCCCCATGTGCATTAGTGAGCCTTGGTCATCCATGACCCTGTCGCCGATCCACTGGTTCACCTTCCTTGGACCACTTTTGGTAAATCCTGACAACTGCAGACTGGGAACATCTCACAAGACCTGCTGTTTTGGAATTGTTCAGACCCAGTCGTTTAACCATCACAATTTGGCCCTTGTCAAAGTCACTCAAATCCTTACACTTGCCCATTTTTTCTGCTTCCAACACATCAACTCCAGGGACATGTTCACTTGCTGCCTAATTTATCCCATCTACTTCCAGGTGCCATTGTAACACAATAATCAATATTATTCCCTTTATCTCTCAGCGGTCATGTTATGGCTGATCGGTGTAGATTATCTGGAGCTGTCTGGCTATATCCAGGAACAGGATATGTTGCATACTTAGCTTTTTGCTGAGTTTACAGACTATGTGCGTGGACACAGGAATCCATATTTCAACAATGCAGTTCTCAGTGGGTGGAGCCTGATGGGGAAGCTGAATGACTAGTTCCCCATCAGGTCAGTCTCCCTTGTGGCTGACACCAGGCAGCTTTTTTTATATAGCAATAGCCAGCTTGCTATTGGCTTTGGAGTTTGCCCAATGCCTGCTGTCAATCAGCAGCAAAGCAGATCTGATGGGGAATAGACTCTAAGCATTTCCATCAGGCTCCAATCAGTTTGCATCACTGGTTAAGAATGCTGATGACTGGGTAGTTAACAGCGTCCTTAACAACCAGTGATGACAGTATCACTGTGGAAGTGGTACTTGCAGTGTCACCAAGGAGCTGATTGCATCTTTGTAGTCAGGTTTCTGGTGGTGTCACTGCAGAATGGGAAAGGGGACCTCAAATAAGAGGTCCAATGACATGGGATTGTAGCAACCCAGTTATATTGTGGCTTGGGCTTGTTATTCTTTGTTTTTTATTTCAGCGCTACTTTTATCCCTGGCTGTGAATTCTTGCCGGCTGAAACTCTTCTTCTTCCTTGCGAACCGGCGTCCGCCTGCTGCCTGGCGCTATTTGGGGAAACCACTGGTGTTGCGGTGCATGGCCCCCCTTATGGAAACAAAATAAAGCGACAAAAAATATTGTTTTACTAGAATTATTTCCGGTTGTAGTTGCGTTGGAAATTTGGGGTACTTTTTTAGCTAATAAGCGCATTTTAATTCATTCTGACAATAAGGGTGTCAAATTTGCGGTAAATTGTCTTTCTTCTAAGTCTCCTTTAGTGTTAAAATTGTTACGTCATTTTGTTTTTCAATGTCTTAGATTTATCCCTGGTAAGACAGATGCAGCGGTTCAGGGAACTTCTACCGGAAGCAGATTTGGAGGGTCATCCCTGCCCGGCTGATTTGTGGGAGCTGATTTAAACCTCGTTTCTGAAACCATCCGTAATTCAGTGGCCCCAAGGACTTGGGCCGCCTATTCTAACGCATGGTGTAAGTGGTCGTCTTTTGCAAAAGAGGCCGGTTTGCCTTGCATTGCTCCTTGTGAAGAATCTATCCTGGCTTTTATTACTTACTTTGTAAAGGGAAACAAACCTTCTTATAGTCACCTGGCTGAGACGTTGGCTGGTATTTAATTTTTCTTGTAGCTTCTTCGTCTGCCACCTTGCAATAGCTATTTTTCAGTCAACAGGTTTTTAAAAGGGTATAAAAAAATCGAATTTCTGCACGGATTCGAGGCGTCTGATTTCAAGTGACCTCCTTCGTCAGTTTTGCAGCATTACACCAATGGTTTGTTATTCTGATTATGAATCTATTCTTTTCAATACAGCTTTCAATTTAGCATTTTTCGCAGCTCTAAGAATTTCTGAGTTAGTACCAAATAATGTTAAGAGTGAGTCGGGGTTGTTATTTTCGGATGTCTCGCTTTGCGGACGCTATGTTAATATTACTATAGCAAAATCTAAAACAGATCAATTAGGTTTAGGTCATTTACACACGTTACATTCTAGTGGTGATAGTACTATTTGTCCAGTACAAAAGGTTAGAACTTACCTTTCTATGAGACCTAATTTTGATGGTATGTTTTTTATACATTGACATGGTTCTCCATTAACGAAATTCCAATTCAAAGCTATTCTTAAGCATTGTATATCTCATTTGTGCTTGGGTCGCTTCAAAATTACTTTACACTCGTTTCGTATTGGGGTGGCAATGGAAGCTGCAAAATTAGGTCTCGACGAATCAGTGATCAAAAGAATTGGTAGATGGGGCTCAGAAAGGTTTAAGATTTATGTACCACCTAATTTGTCTTTTTCATTTTAGGCCGAAAAGCTATAGTTTGGATCATCGTTCACTCATTTGTGTACCGGGCTCAATACAGAGCATCCCACCGTATTTACTCAGAAAACTTGCGCATGCCACCGGAAGATTTTTCTGTCTTCTGGAAGGGCGTTAGAGGTATGGTTTGGAATAATTTAATGTTTGTATTATTCGGTCTATTCAATTGATGGCCACATCCCGATGTCATTATTATACACCGTGGAGGAAATGATTATGGAAAATGCAAGACCCTAGATCTGTTATTTAAAATGAAAGACGATTTTGTTCCATTTAAAATGACTTTTCCTTACACATTCTTTGTATATTCAGAGATAGTACCTTACTTGGCGTGGCTGGATTCTCCAGTATCACGTCCTTTGGAAAAAATTCGGAAGCGTCTGAATAGGGCTATGCAAA